CGCCGATGGCCCCCGCGGGCCTCTCGGGAGGGCGGGTGGGTGATTGATCCGGCGTTTCGTCTGCAGGGTCTCGCCATGTTCAGCTCGAGCGCCAAGATCGTGAAGCCCAACGGCGAGAAGCCGGACGAGTTCGAGTCAGGCATCTCGCAGGCGCTGCTGGAGCTGGAGATGAACTCGGACCTTAAGGCCCAGCTGCGCGAACTCAACATAACGGCGGCCAAGGTGAGCGCCGGCCCGGTCGGGGTCTGCGGCGGACCCTTAGGTGGGCCGTGACGGAAAGGGTCCGGGCACGAGATGCAGTTCATGCGCTTCACGGCCAGAGCCGGGCCTCTGCTTCATCTCTGACGTGCTTGCAGCGTTAGCTTGCTGCAGCAGTTGCCTGGGCTCACTGTGTCACTGAGTACCAGGCGTGGTGGCAAACGTTATCCCAGCACACGGGAGGCTGAGGCAGGAGGGTCACTGCAGGTTCAAGGCCAACCTGGACTCCACGGCGAGACCTTGTCTGAAACCAGAGCAGCCTCCCTCCCGAAACAAAGAAACAGTGTACGTGTTTATTTTTTGTTTCTGAGAGTGTCTTGTGTAGCTCAGGCTGGCCTAGGACTCAAAGTGATCATCTTGCATCTTGCCTCAGCCTCAAGTGCTGGGATTATGGACGTGGATCACCACACCTAGCCCCCTCTTCCTTTGAGATTGGGTCTGGTTCAGTTGTGCAGGCTGGCTGTGAAACTTAAAACCCTCCTACCTCCAGTAGCTGGGATTATAGACAAGTGCCACCGCACCAATCTGAAGTTTACTTTATATATGGTCTTCGGTTAAAAATTGAGAGCGTTTAGGCAGAGCTGTCCCACACAGGTCAACTGTGTGCATTGGTATCCAATTCCATAGATTGGAAGTGTTTTGAACCAGGGTCTTGATGTGTATAGGCCAGGCTGGCCTTGAAGGCACAGTGATCCTCCTGCCTCAGCCTTCTGAGTGCTGGGACTACAGACGTGTCGCCACACCCAGTTTTGAAAATTTTGTGTCATCTGTGGGGCGTGAGAAAGACAGTGAAGCTGTGCTGTTGCGACACTTTTGTATTGCTTGTCACTTTCCACACACAGGGTGAACTGTAAGTAGAGGTGTCTTTTGCCTCAGAGTTTTCGAGGTCCTGGGGTGAGAGGGCGCATCCTGTGATGGCCTCTAGCTGCCAGAGCCACAGGTGGAGTACGTGTGTCTGTCTGGTCCCTTCAAAGACCCCTGGAGTGGCCAGCGATGGTCTCCTAACCGAGGGCTCCACCGCTGAGTGTCACCGTTTAGTTCCCACTTCTGGTACCTTGCTGTGAGGCTTTGGCTTCAGCACATGCGCCCTGGACACTTGGCTGCATCCAGACCTTAGCGGGGTGATGTTTAAAGAGCTCGCAGTGGTTAAGGTGACCTGCTTTGTGAGCACCAACATTTACTGTGAATGGCAGCGTGTGGGATCCTACATCAGTGGGAAGAACGAAAGGTGTGAATTTTCAAAAGTGGATTTTTTTTTTCCTTCAGGAAATTGAAGTTGGCGGAGGTCGGAAAGCTATCATCATTTTTGTCCCAGTTCCCCAGCTGAAGTCTTTCCAGAAAATCCAGGTGCGCCTGGTGCGTGAGCTGGAGAAGAAGTTCAGCGGCAAGCATGTGGTCTTCATCGCACAGGTAGCTGTCCTGGTAATGTTTCTGCTTCCGCGCTTGGTGAACGATACTGTGCTCGGCTGTGATGGTTGTGAGCTGTTACTCAGTAGAGGCTGCCGGGAAACATGGGTTTATCTTGAGTTAGATAAAGCTCAGCCTGTGTGAGCATCATCAGTTGTTCGTGGCATCACAGTGTGGCATTTTTCAGAGCTGTCAAATGACTTTCCACTTCCACAGTGCCACAGTGTTGGTGAAGAAGGGGCTGAGGGTCCCCGCGTAGGGAAGGGGAAGTCAGGAAAGGTGTTTCAGCTTCCAGTCTGGCTTTGTAGCCCAGCCCTGCCTGTGTTCTGGTCTAGGTGGGCTGTACTTCTGTACCCATGTTGGGTAGCTGGACCTTTTTGAATGTGGAAAGATTGAATATTTGGGGTGTTGTGTTTGTTTGTTTTTCAGTAACAGTTGAAGCCATAGATTCTGAATGGATTAATGAAAAATCAGAAGTAACATAGAAGGGGTTATAAGCCTGCTGTTTGGTGTAGGTTTTATTTTCTCAAACTTGAACTTAACTGTTAGCCTTACAGCATTTGGATGGTTCTTAGCCTTCTGTTGACTTAACATTTTTCTTTTTTTGTATGACATCTTTTACCTTCCAGAGGAGAATTCTGCCTAAGCCAACTCGAAAAAGCCGCACGAAAAATAAGCAGAAGCGTCCCCGAAGGTGAGTCTTGAAGCGTGTCTGTCCTCCACATGTGCACTGCTCCTGCTGGGCTCGGTGTGTGCCCCACTGTGTGTGGGCCTCTCCTGAGTGGGTTCGGCTGTGGCTGTGCGTGGTGGGCTTTCACGGAGGCTGATTCTTTGCATTCTTTTGTCGAAGTATAAAATAGGAGAAGGAAGTCAGTGTTCTTTGTGATAAACGTTAGACATGGTTCAGGTGAGCTGGGTTTATTTTACTTTTTGTGTTGGGGACTAGAGAAAAGCTTTGATTCTCCTGGTGGTACCGAAGTATAAAGTAACCCTTGTTAGTGGATGTGAAAGCGGACCCAAGGCTTGGAGGATTAGCTCATTTTAGCTGATAACAATAGTGCTAGGAATGCATTAGAAGTTAAGGGTTCTCTATTCTGTATAAGACTGTCTTATCTTTTTGGGTACTAGGAATCGAACTCAGGGCCTCTCACTTGCCAGGCACACCGCCTGTGCCCCTGAACTACATCCCTAGCCCAGTAGTAGTGCTGAGAACTGTTTAAAGTCAGGCTTGTTCAGAAAATGGAAATTAGAAAGACATGTTTGGCCAGGGCCTTCTTTCTGAGGCCGCTGGAGCAGCAGGCTCTTTACCTTGATGCTTGGAAGGAACTTTGTGGTCCTGATTCAGAGGACCTGGTCTGGAACCAAGGCGAGGAGTGGCTGCAGCTTTGGCTGCCAGGTTCTCCGGTTCGGACCCCTGTGCTCCCTCACCTGGTCGTCAGGTTGGTGATGCTCCCACTTCCGGTTTTGCTTTCTGGCCATCCTTGCCTTCGCGCTGACCAAGTGCCCTGAGGCTCCAGCTGGAGCAGAGATTGTTCCTCAAGGTCCCTTAGACCCCATGGGCTGTGGTTACTGTCAGGGTGATGTTGCCATTGCTCCCCTGGAAGTACCCATGGACCTATCCTGCCTCCTCAGAAGTCCCTGGCTGACCCACACACGTGACTGTTCAGATGAGTGGCAGTGAGCTGTCTAAAAGTGTCCTGCGGGATTTTGGAGAAGAGAGTTTCCGTCCAGCTTGCCTTTCCTTTGCACAAGCCACAAGTGTGTTCCCTGAGGTGCCAGACAGGAAGTGTGAATGACCAGGATACAGTGTTTGCTGCCTGCTGTGTGTGATGAGCATTAGACAAGCACGGGACCAGCCTGTCAGAAAGCACAGAAACCAAGACCTGTCTCCACCTAGCCCTGCTGCTTCGGGGTGCGTGTGCAGCAGGGACCCTGGAAGTCGGAATTCCAGCCAGGCTGCGGTGTAGGGTGCCTGAGGTGGAGGTGATGCAAATGTGGCAGGCAGCAGGGGCCCGGGTGTGCAGCTGTGGACTGGGTCTTTTCCGAGCTGGCGCCCTGTGGGTCCCAGTCCTCTCCTGATGATTGGTGCAGGTCCCAGGTGGCCCTGCAGTCCCGGGCGCAGCTTACACCCAGGTCCAGTGAGCACCTCGGACCCCAGCGCTGTCCGGCCCGGCTCACCGGATGGCCCCTGTGCATCTGGGCCTGAGCCTTGCTGTGGGGCCGGGACTGGTGGAGCAGTGCTTGGGGAGTGGCGTAGTGTCTCGTTCAGGCAGGCCTAGTGGACAAGGAGTTACGATGGCATTTTGGAGGCCAAAGAGAGCCCCTTAAGGGTAGTAGGTAGGGCTGGAATTTAGCTCAGTGGCACCATGCCTGCCTGGCAAGGACAAGGTCCTGAGTTCGATCCCCCGTACCAAAAAAACTGTTTAATAGGTATATTGTGTTCTTGTGGGGGTTTTTCAGGGGTGGGGGGTTAAGACAGGGTCTGGCTATGCAGTCCAGGTTGGACTTGAACTCCTGGCAATCCTCCCACCTCAGCCTCCTGAGTGCTGGGGTTACAGTGTGTGCCTGGCGGGGTTCCCGTGGGTTCCCTCACTTGTCACCCTCTTTTCAGCCGCACGCTGACCGCTGTGCACGACGCCATCCTGGAGGACCTGGTCTTCCCCAGCGAGATCGTGGGCAAGAGGATCCGAGTGAAGCTGGACGGCAGCCGGCTCATCAAGGTGCACCTGGACAAAGCCCAGCAGAACAACGTGGAGCACAAGGTTAGCGCCTGTCCCCCCTCCCCTCAGGATTTCTGAGCCCGCCTTGGGACTGGGGTGCTTTGAAGTTGTCGGGTGGGAGTAGCGTGGCCCTCGGAAGACTGCACCCCACACTGAGTCGGGGTGGGGTGGGGAGCTGTGCTTTGGGTGCCCAGGGGTCGTCAGTGTCCCCAGTGCTGACCACTGGCCGTGTCGCAGAATCGCTGGGCGTAAGATGCCTGTGTCTGAGAGCTCTGTGGTTGACTTTTCTTCTTCTCCTTTCCAGGTTGAAACATTCTCTGGTGTCTATAAGAAGCTCACGGGCAAGGATGTAAATTTTGAATTCCCAGAGTTTCAGTTGTAAACATAGATGTTAAAATAAAGTATGGTTCCTAGTATTCTGGTTTACATGTTTCTCAGATCCCAGCCTTGTGGTGGGTGGAGAAGGCAGAATACTGCACTCCTCCTGGCTGGCCCTAGCTTTTTTCTTTTTGAGACAGGACCTCATTGAGGTACCTGGGCCAGGTCTGATTTTTGCAGTCCTCCTGCCTCAGTCTCCAGAGTGGGGAGCACAGATGTGCAGCACCACACCTAGCTGGGAACTCCAAATGGGTAAAAGTATCTATAGGACCTAAATCTTTTTTTCACCAAAATACTAACTTTAGTGAAAGCCATGTGACTGACTCGATTTTGAAAAATTTGGTCTAATACTTTGATACGACAACTGGAAAATCTATTTCTTAGCCAAGGCTGATGGCTGACCCCCCCTTAGCCAAGGGGTTCTCTTCTCGGGTGGCCTGGGCTACAACTGTGTGCTCTGTGGGCAGCCTGTGACCTCTGGTGGTGTGCTGGGGTCCCCCACTGGTGTAGGCTAGGAAGTGGGGTGTTTCACCCCTTGAGGCTCTTAGGGATAAATGTAGGTTCAGCTGGCTTGAACCTATTTATTAAACGTTTCTTCAGCACCTCCTAATTAGCCTGTAGGACCTGTGGCCGCTGGGGCATCACCCTGGTGGACGGGGGTTGGCTCATCCGGTCTACAGGCCCGGGAGATTTCCCGTCCGCAGGCAGAAGGTTCTCATCTGGCTCTGCTGTCCAAGCTTCCCACTTATCTCCAGGAAATGTAAATACTCCCAGGAAGCGGGCCAGAGCTGCCCACACTGGAGTGTTGTCTGCAGGGTCAGTGCAGGGCCGTTCCCAGCTGCTGGGGGTGGAGTGGGTGCTGCTCCGGCTGCAATGTCCAACATCCTTTCTGCCAGAAAGTGGTTCTCGATACAGTCCCCTGGATGCTGGCCAGGTACCACTTCTGTCGCAGCAGGGAGTTCTTGGTGTTTACAAAGCCCTTCACGTAAACATAACTTTTAATCATTGTATTACCTCGCCCCCTTCCTAAGCTCCACGTTTTGGGGTTTTCGGTGGGCATACTTTGATCGTTTATCCACCTCCTCCCACCCACTCCCCCTTCCTAGCTCCTTATTCCCTCATCTAGTAAGCCTCCCTTGTGCTTGTCTTGTTGGATTCTGTGTTTTAGGGAGAACATGGGACAGTTTTCTTTCTGAGTCTGCCTGTTTCGCTCAACCTGATGTTCTCCAGGTGCCTCCGTTTTTCTGCCAGTGACAGTGCTTTTTCATGGCCAAGTAGTACACCACATTTCTCACCATCTGACAGGCACCTAAGCTGGCCCGACTCTTGGCCCTTCTGTGGTCTGGCATGTTCTCTTCCTAACTCATCTGGGACAAGGCCTGGAATTCCAAGGAGCAGGATGGGGCCTCACGTGGTGCTATGGACAAGCATATGTGTCTGGTGCAGTGATTGTGGGTGAGTCGAGCTCACACCTCTGGGCAGAGCGACACCCATGGCAACCACCTCTGCCCACCAGGCTCCGCCTCCCAGCTGCACACCCACCTCTAAACCCATCAGCTCACTGATAGGCCTCACACCATGATCCAGCTGACTCCCTCCCTGGGCCACCTACGCAATAAACAGCCCCACCCGAGCCCCTGAGGTTGAGGGCATTTAGGTACCAGTGGTAACTCCAGCGAACCTCAAAAAATGAAAACAGGAAGTAGCCTTCAGGGTTGGTCTTCACTGCACAGAATCCACTGAGAGCCAAGTTGATTCAGTGCATGCAGGTTTCATAGATTATGTAACCACTCACCTGTTGGAGGACCTCGGAGCTGCTTCCTGCTTTGGGCTGCTACAAATAGTTGCTGTAAGCGTCTGTGGACAGGTCTATGTGTGAAGGTATGTTTTCACTTCTCTGCAAAAATGCCCAGTGTTGCAATTACTGAATTTTTTTTTTTTTTGGCAGTACTAGGGATTGAACCCAGGACCTTAACACTAGGCTATACCTCAGCCCTTTTGTTACTTTTTATTTTTAGATGATGTCTTGCTAAGTTGTCCAGGCTGGACTTCAGCTTTCCACCCTCCTGCTTCAGCCTCCCAGAGTGCTGGGATCACAGGTTTGTGGCGTCATGCCTGGCTTATAAGCATCCTTTCTTAAGGCAGGTCCCTGGCCCTAAAGTGTAAGAGGAGACTTGTGATGTGCACTCCCTACACACCCTTGCACCCCCTTCATGTGGTGCTGGGTGAATTTGGGTCTCAGTGTGAGCCAGGTCTCCACAAGCAGTGGTCAGGCACTTTCCACCTCCGGAAAAATCCATGAGGGAAAGAAGGAAAGGAATCATGTCCACTTCATTGATTGCTGGCTAACCTGTTGCCAGGTGGTTGTTATTAGTTCTTTATGCTTAAGAATTGCCACAGTGCACATGCTTATTAAAAATGACAAAAGGGGGTCGGGGGTTTAGCTCAGTGGCTCTGCCACCTGCCTCAAAAGCACAAGGTCCAGAGTTCAATATCCAGTACCCAAAAAAAGAAAAAGCGCCGGGGATTGAGCTCAATGATGCCATGCCTGCCTCACAGGCACAAGGTCCTGAATTCGAACCCTGGTGCAAAAAAGTGACAAAAGGGGCCGGTGATGTAGCTCAGGAGTCGCGTGCTTGGTTAGCATACTCGAGGCCCTGGGTTCCATCCCCAGTGCAGGGAAAAGAATGAGAGGAAGCCAGGTGTGGTGGCTTGGCCTGTAATCTCTGTAAATAAAAAGGCCTGGGGATGTAGCTCAGTGGGAAGACCTGGGTTCAATCCCTGGTGCCCCAGAAAAAGAAAACAGGAAAGCAAGGTGAAAGAGCCAGGAGGGAGAGCTTGTCCGGGCTGGGTTCCCACACTCCCCGGCCAGCCACAGGACACCAAGGTCTCGGACCGGAAGCGGCTGCAGATAAGCAGGGCTCTGGCTGCAGGCAGGGCTCGCCAGTGCTGGACCAGGGCTGCTGCCTCTAAATAGCAGCCATGCAGCCTGCGGTGCAGTGTCCCCGCGGGCCAGCCACAGTGAGGACGCTGATCGGACGTCCCCGCGCATAAGAGGGTGCACCTGGTAGGAGACATCGCCCAACTCTGAGCAGGGCTGGGCGGGCTGAGCCACGAGATGGGAGGCGGGTGCCACCCGGCGGGGATGCAGTCTGCTGGCAACCGCGCCCTGGGATCACAGAGTTGGGGCCTGTGGAGTTCCCGGGCAGGCTCCAGACTGTGATGGACAGAATCACAGCAGGGAGAGGCCCACGACCCCGAGCCCAGCATGGCGGTGTGGGGCGAGCAGCGTGGCAGCAGCCCCTGCCTGGACCCCCGCCCACGACCTGGCTGTCCTGTCAGATGGGAAGCAGTGTGGTAGCCTCAAAAGTAAACGATGCACTGTAAGCCACGCACACGCTGTGCATAACGGGCTTCCACCAGACAGCCGCGCCCCAAGCCTGATTCTGAGAATTCTCTGTGCCAGGGGAAACAGCCAGAGGTGGAAAGAGGAGAGAGGAGAGGCATCTTCTTAACTGGGCTCTGGTAAAGACGCCAGTATGTGTTGTGGGTAGAAATCCAGCGAGTGTAACCCTGTCATCCCAGCCCTATAGGAGGCTGAGGCAGGAGGGTAGCATGTTCGAGCCCATCTGGGGCAACTTATCAATGTAGTGAGACCTTGTCTCAGAATGCAAAATAGAAAAAGAGAAAAAGGGCAGAGGGGCAGAGGGCATAGGTGGCGGGTTGGCCAGGACCCCAGCGCCCCCTAACGCTTCAAGGTATTGCTCCGTAGATATCTGTTGTCTTTGATGCTGGCCCTGCTGCAGGGACTGAACGAGATCGCAGCATTTCGTGTGGGGCACTTTAAGTCCCTCTCTCCTCCAGTTCTTACAGCATATTTCTTCCTGGAATTCCATGCCTAATCCCCTCTCCCCAAAGCTGGCCTCTCCCACCGGTGCTGGGAGATAAGGATGTTGTTCTTAGGGAGACCCTGGCCACGCTGCCCTCCTCCGTTTACACGACTGAATTCCTCCCCTGGAAAGCTGCAGGCAGCCAGGGCCAGGCCAGGGTTCCTGGGGCCCACGAAGCTGCCCATCCCTTCCAGTGGTTTCTGTCTTTTTTTTTTTTTTTTGAGGCAGGGTCTCCCTTTTAGTTCAGGCTGGCCCCGAACTCACTATGTAGCCTAGGCTGGCCTCGAACTCAAGCTGATCCTCCTGCCTCAGCCTCCCAAGTGCTGAGATTACAGGTGTGTGCCACCATGCCCGGCAGTGGTTTCCTTCTTTACTTTTTTTGTTTAATTTTAATTTTATTAGTGCGTGTTTGCAGTACACGATTATATTCATTGTGGAGATCGGTGCATGTGAATGACACTTCTTAATTCTTTTAAGTCCCTTTCCTTCTCCTCTTTCCTGCTCCCTCTTTCTCTTGATCCCCTTCTCTTTTGCAAAATGTCCATCTCTGTACTTCCTGTTGTCTTTTATTTTGGATTTTATTTATGCTTTGGGTGTCTCATATAAGAGAAACTATGTGATATTTAATCTTGTGTGTCTGATTTATTTCACTTAACAATGTGGTCTTGCAGGGTGAGCATGGTATGGTATACCTATAATCCCAGCCCTTGAAAGGCTGAGGCAGGAGGATCTCCATGAGTTCGAGACCAGCCTGGGCTACATACTGAGTTCAAGGACAGCCTGAACTATATAGTGAGATCCTCTCTCAAAGAGCTAAAACAAAACAATGTGGTTTCAAGGTGTATCCATTGTCCTACACCTGACTCAAGTTTATCCTTTATGGCAGAGTAGTACTCCATTGTGTGTAAATACCACTTTTTTTTTTTTTTGGTACTGGGTATCCAACTCAGGACCTCGTGCTTTCGAGGCAGACGCGGTGCCACTGAGCAAAATCCTCAGCCCCAGTACCACATTTTCTTTATTCATCTGTTGATGGGCACACAGGTCCCTTCCAGGATTTAGCTGTTAGGAGCTGTGCTGCTCTAAACATGGGTTTGCACCAGTCACTGTACTGTGCCGTCCTTAATTCTTTCACTTTTCCCAATGTTTTCTTGCCCCAGCTATGGGGGAGGTCCCGTCTGTGGTGTTCCATGCAGGCTGCCCGTGCTCTGTCCTGGGCAGTGGGCGGCGTGGACGTGGGAGGTGGTGAGGGGCGTGGGCGGCGGGGTAGCTGCTGGTCTGCTCCTCCGCAGAAGTCCATGCACCCGCGCCAGCAATGAAGAGTGACCTGGCCCTCGCAGGAGCGCTGCTCGGCCTGGCCCTCCTGTCACTGCCACCGCCCGCACGCCCCCAACTGGCCGCAGAAGACGCCTGCTCCGTGCAGATCCTGGTGCCCGGCCTCAAAGGTGAGTGAGGGATTGGCCCAGGTCTCCTGCAGCCTGGCCATGGAACACGGGTGCATATGACCCCTCCAGTCCTGACACCCAGGGCAAATCTGCTCGTCTGTCGAGCCTCAGTTTCTCCATCTGTACACCAACAATTAGGCTGCACAGCACCTGAATTCAGCTGTGGACCTGCGTGACTCTAAGCCAGCCGGGTCCTGTCCAAAGTGGCTGCTGTGAGGCCCCTGGCATTGGTGGGCACTGAACCCAGGACCTGGCATGGTGACCTTGTCTGGCTCGTTTTACAGATCAGGAGGCTCAGAATTCAGCAATTTGCCTAAGGCTCCACCCTGTGTTCCTATGCTGGCTAGAGAGCTCTTTATTCTTTTTTTTTTTTTATTTTTGCAGCCCTAGGGATTGAACCCAGGGCCCCTGCACTGAGCCCCAGCCATTTTTTAAAATTTATTTTAAATTTTGAGACAAGGTCTCACTAAATCTGCTAAATTGTCCAGGCTGGGCTTGAACTTGAAATTCTCCTGCCTGAACCTCTCAGAGTACTGAGATTACAGGCATGTGCCATCATGCTGGGCTTCATTCTTTATTTTTATTTATTATGATGATGATGATGATTATTTTAGTTTTTTTTTTTTTTTTAGACAGGATCTCACTATGTAGCCCAGGCTGGCCTTGAACTTGCAAGGATTCTCCTGCCTCAGCCTCCTAAGTGCTGGGATTACAGGCTTGCATCACCACACCCACCACATACTCTTCAATTTTAGAACAAAATTTTCTTTTTAAAAGATAAGGGAAAGTTTGAGAACCATCGGGAGACCCAGGGCCATGTGCATGTGCTGATCAAGTAGCAGACCCACAGTGGACCCTTGCGTCTTCAGCAGGGAGCTTGAGACCATCACCCATTGTGACAGCAGGATGTTCCGGCTCTGTTAGCACTCACTTTGTGTTTTCCTGTTTACTTAAATTTAACTTCAATGTCCCCTCTGTTGGGCCAGATTTCCTGGTTTGAAGATTTCATTGGGTAATCTGTTATCGCCATTGAGCCTTTCACAAGTCAGAGCACAGAATATAAAGTTCACTGAAATGTTGACTTACATGATTCACAGGTCTACACACACACTCCCTCTCTGTGTAGCTCTGCATAGGGAGAGGTGTGCAGAGGGGCTGGGGCCAGCCCAGGTAGGGAGGCCAGGCCACATAACAATGGCTGTGATGTAGCACAAACTCCAGTCACCAGAGAACAGCAAGTCCAAGGGAGAAAGCAGAACCTGGCCAAGTGCACTGATGGATCAAAGGCAGAACAAGAGAAGATCTGGATTAGAGAAAGTTGACATCCAGGAGGACCTGGATGTTGTTTATGGTTAAATTTAGCCATTGGTGGTGGTGTTTTGCTTTTGAGGTAGTTCCTCGCTGTGCAACCCAAGATGGCCTTGAAATCACAGAGATCCTCCTGCCTCAGCCTCCCCAGTGCTGACAGGTGTGCGCCACCATACCTGGCCCCACTGATGGTTTTTTATGTCTTTTGAGAAGGGAAAAATGTAAAAAAAGATAATCTGATTTAATGTTTTGTGTTTTAGGAAGATCAGTTTGGTAAGCACTAGACTGGGGGCAGGGAGGCTGGGAAGGAGCTCCTGCAGCCCCAGCCCCTCCATGCACCTCTTTGTAGCCCACATTGCAGGGTGTCTCGATGGGTTACTCACCCCTCCATCTGCTGTACCTGGTGACTTCTCCTTAGAGTGGGGTGTGGGCACCCACTGGTCTCCAGCAGCCTGAGGCCTCATGAGGACCCTGCGGAGGGGCAAGGGTGGTCCTGGCAGCAGTGGGAAGGGAGGGGCCTGGTGAGCTGTACCACACGTGGGGCCTTGCTGATTCCCGCTGTGCCTAGGGTGCCCTGAGTCCTGTGCCAGCCAGAACAGTGCTCAGCAGCTGTGACTTCTTCCACAGGGGACTTGGGAGAGAAGGGGGACAAAGGCGCCCCAGGACGGCCTGGAAGAGTCGGTCCTACGGGAGAGAAAGGTACCTGCAGCTCCTGTCCCTGTCTGCGGGCTGGGGGCAGCGGTGGAGGCTATGGAGACTGAGGGGCCAGATGGCTCCTGGCCACCCTGAGCCCGGGCTGTGACATGGGGCTGCCGTGGCCTAGGTTCCTGTGTGCACATCCAGTACAACGGTGATGGTGGCGTGGCAGAGGGGCCAGCATGGACGGGTTTGGATGGAGGTGCTCCCTTTCCGAGTCAGCAGAAGGGTGCAATTCCAAAGGCCCTGTGGGAGTGTACTGTGATCAGACTATGCCTGCAAAGGAGAGGGGTCATAGATGTGAAGGAGCTGGGACACGTGTAAGGGACCAGATCATGTATGTAAAGGGGCTAGAGCACAGGGACAAAGGAATTAGGACATGTGTGTAGCAACTAGATCATACATGTAGAGAAGCTGGATCATTCATGTGAATAACTACATAGTAAACAGCAAGTGCTCAGTAAGTGATAGCTATCCTCTTTAGGATATGATTACTTTTATTACTTCTTGCTATGTAGTCCAGGCTGGCCTTGAACTCACTAGGCTGGCCTCAAACTCATGTTGATCCTCCTGCCTTAGCCTCCCAAGTGCTAGGATTACAGGTGTGCACCACCATGCCCAGCTTGAAAAATAGTTTGAAGTTTAATGTCTCGGGACATCTTTGCAGTATGAACCACCCCAGCTGGGGCAGAGGTCTCCAGGCCCAGGTCTGTGTGCTGATTGGTTCCAGGGCAGAGAGCTGCTCTGTGGGTGTCAGGAGCCACTGTGTGCATAGAGGAGGGGACTCCGCGCCAAGTTGGGTGGCACCCTCTGCTTGGATCCAGTGGGGAGTGGGGACTGCGAGGCTGAGCTCCCATTGTATCTGAGGGTAGGGTGGAGGTGGGTCTGGGCAGCTTGGCTCCCTGGGCCACGCACAGGCTGTGCCCCGGGCGGACCCAGGAGGGGCTGCCTGGCCTGGGTGGGCAACATGGCTCCCACACAGAGCAGCTGCCGTCAGCATCTGAGCCTGTGAGTGCCATTAGGATGAACTGGGATCGGTGCCCTCACTCTGCACCGCACTGGGGCTGGTGCACCAGGCCCTCCGTGCCCCACCCTTGCTCCTGGACATCTGCAGGAGCTCAGGCCCCACTCCGGGGTCCCCGTCAGATCTCCATTGACACTGCTGAGCCAAGAGGGTGGGGTCACTGCCCTGGTGAGGACCCAGCCCCCCCAGCAGTCCAGGGGAGGTTGCTAGGGACTCAGTGCCTCCAGCAGCTCTGTCTTTGGTGGTGCGGCTCTTAGGGGCAGTGCCTTTCTTTGCCAAGGAGCCTGGCCTTCGAGGAGCTGTCCAGGGCGGTCTCCTACGTGTCCTTGAAGGGAAGAAGCACTGTGGTATTTTTAAGTTCTTCGTGTGTATAATAAAAAGGTGTGCACAGGGTCACCGTGTGTGAAGGTGAGAAGCGGTGTGGTGTTTGGTCACCTGTGCAACAACCAACCGTGATCTCGTTTTCTGCAGGAGACCCGGGGGACAAAGGACAGAAAGGTGTTGTAGGTCGCCATGGGAAAATTGGTCCAATTGGTGCTAAAGGTATTTGCAATGTGATTCTTTTTTTTCTTTTGAGACAGAGTCTCACTAGTTCAGGCTGACTGGGAACTCACTAGGTGCCCCAGGCTGGCCTCAAACTAGGTGAGATCCTCCTGCCTCACCCTCCCAAGTGCTAAATGCACCACCATGCCCACCTTCATCCCCATGTTTATAAGTGGAGGAATATCAAGGCTGGTCCTGTCCATTAGGAGATTGGGCTGGACTCCTGGCATCTTGGCCCTTTACACACTATGCCGCCTGCAGTGCCCCCTTAGGTGATCATCCGGTGGTCCCTCTAGTCCCATGACAGGTTCACAGAGCCAGGGTAAATGAAAGAAATGCCGAACTTACCTTTGTAACCCAGGGGCTGCATGGCCTCTGCTTGGTGATGCAGATTCTGCTTTTCTTTCAGGTGACAAAGGTGAGATGGGTGACGTAGGACCCCCCGGCCCCAACGGAGAACCAGGTATGGCAGACAGGGTAAAAGGAGTTTTAGTGAAACAGACTAAAATTGTGCTTTGGAAAATGTAACCATTAGAGCCAGGTGTGGTGGTGCATGCCTGTAATCCCAGCACTTGGGAGGCTGAGGCAGGAGGATCGCTATAAATTTGAAGCCAGCCTGGGGTACATAGTGAGTTCAACACCAGCCTGGATTACAGAGCAAGATTCCATCTCAAAAAAAAAAAAAAAGTTTTTTTTAAGTCAATAAAAACAGACTGAGGATATAGCCCAATGTGAAGGCTTTGAACTCAGTCCCAGTACAGTACTGGAAAACAAATGAAACCAAACCCAAATGAAAAACAGCAATAAAAAACAAGCCAAGCCAGCTCAAAAGCACTCACCCTCACTCCCGGGCTCCCTGGCTGCTCCTCCCCCAGGGCCCCTGTGTCCCTGCAGCTCTGCCCCATCCAGCTGAAAGGTCCAGTGCTGTGCGTATACAGGGGAGGACCACTGAGTCCCTCTGCAGCTCCTGGAGGTCCCAGTGGTTAGCCACGGGTCCCTTGCCTTGGCCTCCCGACTCGGCATGCTGCAGCAGGGCGTGCCTCCATTTCCCCAGGTGCCCTGGGGAATGTCCTCTAACACCACCCTTAGCCTCTCCCAGGGCTCCCCCAATGGCCACCCTGAGGCCTCCACATCCTCTCTGCATCCCTTCCCACCCTGCACCCCACTGTCTTCCCATTGTAGCCAAGCAACACTTAACATATAAAGTACAGTGAAGAATACGTTCTGCTTAAATAAAGAAAAAATCATTACAGTAAAAGACACACTGCCAAGAACCCCCTCAGAATCCTCCCCCTCTTCCAACACACTCATCCCATCATACTTGCCACTTCCTGTAGCAGCTCTGGAGTCCTCTTCTCCTGAGGGTTTTTGTTTTTTTTTTTGGTATCGGGGATCAAACTCGGGTCCTTGTGCTTGCGAAGCAGGCGGCGAAACCACTGAGCTAAATCCCCAGCCCTCCTGAGGGTCTTTAGCTGCACTGTCCTGGTTGCCTCGATGTCCTGAATGGATTCAAAACGCCTCCCTTTCATGGTCATTCTGACTTTGGGGAAGAACCAGAATTCACACAGCGCCAGATCAATGACTAAGGTGGATGAGGACAGAGCGTCATGTTTTTACAAGCCTGTTGTATGGAACTCAGTAGCAGCAGCATTCACTGTAGTTTTGATCAGACCTCGTGAAGATCCTCAGGAAAGAGGACTCCAGAGCTGCTGCAGAAACCGGCAAGGACAATGGGATGAGTGTGCTCAAAGAGAGGGGGAGGACTTGAGGGGGATTCGTGGCCTCTTGTCTCTCACTGCCATCTTTAATATAAGCAGAGTGTTTCCCCACCACCCCTGCTGACCCTGGCAGCTACCCACTGCCTCTCTGTGCCCCTAGGGTAAGCATGAAATTGTCGGCCCGCCCCTGTGTGGTGTGGAATAGACCGATGCCCCTGGGGGGTGCTCTCTCCCCTGATGCCCCTCTGTGTCACGCCCGGCCCCCACAGGCCTCCCGTGCGAGTGCAGCCAGCTCAGGAAGGCCATCGGTGAGATGGACAACCAGGTCACCCAGCTGACCACTGAGTTAAAGTTCATCAAAAACGGTAGGTGGGGCTCCGGGCCACCCTCCCGCCTCCCCTCCCCAGCCTCCGCCTCCGCGGCCCCCTGCCGCGTGCGTGCGTGCGTGGGCCCCGCTGCCGCGTGCGCGCACACCGCGGTGTGGTAAGTGTGATCACCGAGCTGCCAGCACTGCCTTTCAGCCCTGCCCTCCCCCGCAGCTGTCGCCGGCGTGCGCGAGACGGACAGCAAGATCTACCTGCTGGTAAAGGAGGAGAAGCGCTACGCTGACGCGCAGCTGGCGTGCCAGGGCCGCGGGGGCACGCTGGGCATGCCCAAGGACGAGGCGGCCAACGGGCTGATGGCCGCCTACCTGGTGCAGGCCGGCCTGGCCCGCGTCTTCATCGGCATCAACGACCTAGAGCGCGAGGGCGCCTTCGTGTACTCCGACCGCTCCCCCATGCAGACCTTCAGCAAGTGGCGCAGTGGGGAGCCCAACAACGCCTACGACGAGGAGGACTGCGTGGAGATGGTGGCCTCTGGGGGCTGGAACGACGTGGCCTGCCACATCACCATGTACTTTATGTGCGAGTTCGACAAGGAGAGCATGTGAGCCGGGCTGGCTGCCTCGGGGCACCCCAGCCCCTGCCTGAACCCTGAAATTCGGGGCGCCTAAGAGGGCTCAAACCAGCATGACTGGGTGCTGTTTCTGAGTGAAGCCTTATTACCTGCACTGCAGCAGGTGTCACCGTGGCGATACCGCTCACCTCTGCTCTCCCACACGCCCGTCCGCCCCAACCGTGAAATAGCGCCTTTCCGCCACCTTTCCGCGAGGGTGTGAGCGGTGGCCGTGGGGTCAGCCAGCACAGCCCGCCTCTTACTTCCCATATGGAAGACAGCCACCTGTATACGGAGAGGCCCGTGCACCTATAAATTACCCCAGAATGTAGCCTCCTGTTCACTAGTGTGCAAGTAGAACCGACCTTGCTTTGCTTCAAACCCAGGTTTCAAGAATACAAAAATAAATTCTCTAAACTTTACTCTGGAATAAAGGGTGTTGTTTGCTTATCCTAAGGTCCTCGATAGATGTATTAGTTATCTATTGCTGTGAAACAAAATACCCCAAACTAGGGGCCCAAGATTGAAATATTTATTACCTCGAGGCATCTGAGGGTCATAAATTCATGCAGGGTCTAGCTGGGTCCTTGAACTCAGCATCACAGCCAAAACCGAGTTGCTCTGTGTGTGTGTGTGTGTGTGTGTGTGTGTGTGTGTGTGTGTGGTCTCTTTCTTTTTTGTTTTGTTTGAAAGAGGTTCTCATCTTGTTGTCCTGGCTGGTCTTGAACTCCCAGCGATCCTCCTGCCTCAGCCTCCCCAGTGCTGGGATGACAGGTGTGCACCACCGCACCTGGCTTCCCTGTGGTTTTTCAGCATTTTCTGCACTCGTGCCTTGGTGTCTCACTGTCTGGGCCCAAGTCCACTCTGTTCTTTCCCACGTGGTTCTCTCCGAGGGGCAGCAAGAGAGAGGATGCTGGCAGGACCCTAGCACAGCCCCTCATGGCCTGACTGGAGTGCCCTCCTGCCAGCTTGGCTCTGTTTGCTGAATCTCTAGGTGCAGCCCCTGTGGAGCGGGAACCCCAGGGGCCTGCACAGTGACCCCCAGTTCTCCCTTTCCACTCAGGGTCCCTAGTGAACTCCTTTCCCTCATCTTGGAGACAGGGCGCAGATGTACACCAGGCTATGTGACAGGCCCAGTGTCCCCTGCCTCTGTCTCCCAGGAGGCCCTGGCAGCCTCGCCCTGCTCACCTTGCTGACCAGCTGGGCCCCAACTCTCCCCTGTGAGGCTCCGGAGGGGGCGCGGTGGAGGCTGAGAGCTGGGCGCCTGGGCTTGGCTCTGTGGGGTCGCACTGCTGCCCTTGGGGGGCGCCAGTGGGGACAGCCGTGTGGGAGGCCGGCAGCACTGCCGGGTGTGCGCACCAGATGCTCACGGAAGCTCTTGTGGAAGGAGTGTGTGTGTGGACGTATGTGTGCCCGTGTGCATGTGCATGCATGCGTGCTTGTAAGAGGCAGAAGCAGAGAGAGATGCAGAAAGAACAAGGTGGGGGCGAGGACTGGTGTCCCAGAGCTGTGAGATCCCTGGGTGAGGCCAGGCTGTGAGGGTCTGAGCATGCTCCCCGAGGGCAAAGCACAGGCTTCACTTCTGGGATCCCAGGGACCTTGAACTTTGGGGCAGTGGTGGGGGTGGGTGGAGGAGGGGGCTTCTCTCTGGGTCCCAAACTCCTGCCTGTCCCATCTGCCCAGGGCAGGCAGCAGCCTGGAGAGGTGCGCGGGAGCTGCTCCTTTCAGGGCCCTGAGCCAGGCCTCCTGGGAGCAGGAAGGTCAGAGCCTGGCAAATGCACACAGAAAGGAGTTTGCAGAGAGAACTCCGGGAGCACAGGAAAGACAGAGAACAAAGCCCAGGAATCAGGCTGCAGATGGGCCTGCCCATCCCTCCTGCTCAGAGGCTGTTGCTAGGCTACCGCTGCTGTTGTCATGGAAGCCGGTCAGAGGGCAGTTGACCCCACTCAGAGCCTGGGGGCCAGTCCGCCATGTTGAGGACACAGGTGGTACACTGTACAAATCCAAAGAACTGTACCAATCTGCACAGCCGACCGTGGTAGCTTTTCATTTAGGGACAGAGGAGCAGGGGAAGTGAGAATTTCTTGGGTTTTGTGGCAGAAGGAAAAGATGCTTCCTGAGACTGACAGTGTCCCAGGCAGTCTCTCGTTCGCTTTTGTTGAGTAACTAATCATCCTGGAACTCAGTGACTGTAAGCAGTAACCGCACATTCAGCTGCACATGTCTCCATTGGAGCAGATTCAAGGGTCCAGGAGGCTGAAGCAGGGGCCTTTCTCCGTAGGTGTCTCCTCATGCCAGGATCCAGCTGATGTGTTCGAAAGGTGACACCAGGGTCCCCAAGATGGGAGTTGGTGCCTGTGTATTGGGGTGTGGCTTAAATGAGCATCCGTCAGCCCCTGGTGTCCGGCCCTGGCTTCAACAACCGTGTGGCCCCGGCCCCTCCCTGGCAGACAAGGTGACACATATTCCCTTGTGGCCCGGAGGAGGGATCTGTTTGCTCACATGCCTGGGTCACGGTCCTTGGTGGGGTGCAGATCCCCACAGGCAGCTCTAACAAGCCAGAGACAGAGAACGTGGGAGAGAGGGTCACAGATGCCCATAGCCTGGGTGCAGGAAGCCATGACCACCACAGATCATGCAGGCTCCCTCAGCACTGCTGTATGTTTATTCCTTTCCTTGGCATCATGTGATGTTGGCCTTTGAATTGGTTAAGAAATGTGTGCAGTTGTACAGTGGGCAATCAGAAATATGGTGGATATTTTCTGAATAAATTAAAAAATTTATAAAAGATGCATTGCCAGGAATCCCCCTCAAAATCCTCCTCTGGCTTTGAATATACTCATCCCGTCATCCTTGCCACTTCCTGCAGCAGCTCTGGAGTCCTCTTTCCTGAGGGTCTTTAGCTGTGCTGTCCTGGCTGCCTCCATGTCCTGAATGGATTCAAAACATCTCCCTTTCCTGGTCATTGTGACTCTGGGGAAGAGCCAGGAGTCACAGGGTGCCAGATCTGGTGACTAAGGTGATGAGGACACAGCGCCGTGTTTTTACAAGGCTGCTCTTCTTTTGGATGGCCCTCAGCAGCAGCATCAGCAGTCATCATATTTTTTTATCACACCTTGTAAAGACCCATAGGGAAGAGGACTCCGGAGCAGCCGCCAAACGTAGCAAGAGCAATGGGATGTGTGTGTCTGAATGGAGGGGGAAGACATTGAGGGGGTTTGTGGCAGGGTGTCTTCTACTGTAATGAATTTTTTTCTAACATACACCGTGTTTTGCTATTGCACCTTGTACATGTGTTACCCTGTGCTTAGGATAAATCAGGTCAGAGGAGAAATTTATCCCGGAAGTGCTAGGTGCACGGTACCGTGAGGGGTGGCAGGGAGGAGCAGGCCCTGCCCTCATGGGTGCCGGGGGACCTGGAAGGTAAGTGACAGCCAGTGAGATGCAGGAAATGACCATGACAAACTGTGGCAGCCTGACAAGGGTCTGAGCACTGCCTTTTCTGAACCTCTGGAGTCCAGTCCTATCCCAGGGCTGTGGCTGGAGTCAGCGGTGGTTCCGGCCCTGATGCCCAGGGTTCCAGCCTCACGGTGACTCCTGAGAACTCAGGTGATGCGATCAACCTGTTGGTTTGGCCTAACTTGGAGATGATATTTACTTTTTTTTTTTTTGGTACTGGGGTCGAACTTGGGTCCTTGAGCTTGTGCGGCAGGGGGCAAAACCACTGAGCTAAATCCCCAGCCCCAATATTTACTATTTTGATGAGCAAATGTAGCATTGAGCACCTCACCCGGCCTCTGAAATCACTCGTGTGTTAGACGTGGAGGAGCCACAGTGTCTGTCCCTGAGGTCATCTGTGCTGTGACTTCAGCGGCGACATTTAGCACTGCTGGTGAAATGGGGAGGCCATGTGGCGCCCTGACAGGGCCTCATCTCTGTGAGTCTGCACCCCAGCCCTAACCTGCATGTCCCTCTGACTGCAGAAAGACTGCTGGCGATCCCACAGCGAGGGGTGAGGACAGGAACTGCAGCCAGCTCTGAGGAGTTCGGTGCCATTGCTGAGGTATGCCTGCCACCCTGAAGGACAGTGCCCCTTCTTGGGGACAGGAAGGAGCCTGCGCTGTAGGCCTGGCCACACAAGGGCATCTGCTGGGACACTTGACCCTGGCACTCTGGGCATTGGTTTCCCCCCAGTACTGAGGACTGGACTCAGGACCTTTGTACTGAACTATAATCCCCAGCCCACTTTTGAGACAGGGCCTTGCTAAACTGCCCAGGCTAGACTTGACTGGTGAGCCTCCCGCCTCAGCCTCCCAGAGTGCTGGGATTCCAGGTGTGCGCCACCGCACTGGCCTCACTGCACACCTTTGCTCTCCAACTGTGGCTGTGCAAATGCATTCTCAGGCAGAAAGCAGAGGGACAGTGTGGACTCTGGGAGACTGGGCAGGGCTCTTCTCAAACAGGCTGCTTTCTGCTGTTGGCCTGGCAGGCACAGACGGGAGTCTGAGAGCCAGTACATGACCGCACTCACCATGAGCAGTTGGTGCACGGATGGAACACAGCTGGATTCTTTTTGTGTCTCCTCTCTGCCGACTTCATCTCTTAGTCCCTTCCCGCCTATCTCCCTGTTTCCTGTCAGCGATCTTTTATTTTGCTCTTAATTTGTTTATACTGTGGATTTCTCACATAAGAGAAGCCTTGCGATATTTAAGCTGTGTGTCTGATTTGTTTCACTTAACATTATGGTCTCTAGGTGCATCCATTTTCCTACAAATGACTCGTTTATCCTTCTTTATGGCAGAGTAGTACTCCATGGTGTGTAAATACCACAGTTGCTTTATCCATTCAGCTCCTGATGGACATAGCCCGCTTCTTCTTTTTTGGTACCAGGGATCGAACTCAGGTCCTTGCGCTTTCGAGGCAGGTGGTGGAACCACTGAGCTAAATCCCTGGCCCCCAACTTCTGAGCTTTAGCTGTTATGAGTTGTACCACTGTAAACATGGGTGTGCTTGGATCACAGCAATGCCACAAGGCAACTTTTGTGTCTGATGAATTTAATAATCAATCAGGGTTTGCATCTTGGTACATCATTGTTTAAGCTTGTCTACTGACTAATTTCTTTTATGCTATAAAAGCATTCACCCATAACAGATAGGGAAATAATAGCAGCAACAAGTAGGTCTTTAGTCTGAGAGGCACTGTTCTGGCTTCAGCCGAGTGGTGTCCTTGAACTCATGGGTCTGTGAACTTGCCTGGTTTTTATCTGAATGCTTCCTATTAAGTCTGGTTTCTACTATGAATCAACCTGAAAATCTCCATGTCCCTGCCATGCTTATGCAGCAGCTATTTTTTATCAATGTGGGGGGAAAAAAACCACATCGTGAGCAGCCTCTGTTTGTCATTAAACCTGGGGCTGGATCATTATTAGTATTTTTATTAACGTGTTCCATAGGCATCAAGCAATACTATTATTATTATTTTGAGACAGGGTCTCACTATGTAGCTCAGGCTGGCCTCGAACTCATGGCGATCTTCCTGGCTCAGCCTCCCAAGTGCTGGGCTTACAGGTGTGCACCACCACACCTGGTGTTCAGCATTCACTTTTATTCCAAAGCAGCTCTGTCCCTTTATCCCCACAGTGGCACTAGGGTAAGTTCTCTCCTCCCTAACATTTTCATATGTGTTTAGCTACGGTCGGATGGCTGGTGTCGCTTGGTGCCCATGACGGAACTTCACCCAGGAAACCCCTCCTCCAGCCACAACTATTTCCTTGTCAACTCCCAGCAGGGGTGGACTCACGTGAGACTCAACATCTTTCCGGGTATGTGGGGCAGGGACGCTGCTGCAGGTCTGCGGCACCTTGACAAAATGACCCAGAACCCTCCGTCTTAATTAGTGGTCTCTAGCATTTTAGCACTGAAATCCACCCTTCTGTGCTCCAGGGATTGTCTGAATCTGCTCAGCAATAGGTGTTCATGAAAGATCCTCAAGTTAGTTGGATGTGGTGGAACTAAGCTGCATTGGTTAGGTAGCTCCCAGCAGCTTCTGTGTCATAGGTATTAGCAGCTGATGTGCCATGTGACTGGCTCTATGTTATTTCTTTGTAGCAGCTTTATTGTGATGTAATTCACATAACATGCAATTCACTCATCTGAAATATACAATTGAAGCACACACACTGATGTGAGCAATCTCACCACAGTCAATTTCAGAACATTTTATTCATTTTAATTTCTATCCTCTTTTTTTTTTTTTGGACTGGAGATCGAACTCAGGACCTTGTACTTGCAAGACAGGCGTGGCACCTCTGAGCTAAATCCCCGGCTATTTCTATGTTTTGAGATAGGCTCTCACTATGTAGTTCAGGCTGATCTTAAATTCACTTTGTATCACATCCCAGGCTGGTGTGGAACTCATGGCAATCCTCTTGCCTCCGTCTCCTAGAGGGCTAGGATTACAGCTGTGGGCCACCATGCCTGGCTTCATAAATTTGTGTTTAGTGTGGGGGCTTCCACTAGATTTCTCCTTGGTGGCGGTACCATCTGGGCTTCCACTAGCCATACACTCAAGTTTTATTTCCTCAATTTCTTTCCAGGGCTGTTATTGTTCAGATTCTAGCCATCCTGGCAGAGGTGACATTGTATCTGGCTGTGTTTTTTTTTTTTTTTTGGTACCAGGGATCAACCTCAGGACCTTGCACTTGCGAGGCAGGCGGCAGAACCACTGAGCTAAATCCCCAGCCTCCTGACTGTGGTTTTGATTAGCATTTCCTCAATGACCAATCATGGTGAACATCTCCTCCCATCTTTTGCTCACTTGAAAACTGGGTTTTTATCTGTTATTATTGAGTTATGGAAGTTCTTTATATATTCTAGATACAGGTCCTTTTGAAGATATGATTTGTTAATATTTTCCTCTCACTTTGCAAAAGTATCTTTTCACTTTCTTGGGAGTGTCTTTGGAAGCATGGCAGGTTTTGATTTTGGTGGAGATCAATATATCTTTTTTGCTGTTGTTGTTGCTCATTCATTTGGAGTTATATCTAGGAATCACTGTCAAATCCAAGACTATGAATATTTGTCCCATGTGATTTTTTTCTCCATGTTTTATAGATTTACATTTTTGGTCAAAGGTAAAGATCACTTGCATCTTTGTTCAATGTTAAGTTTTGTAGACAGTGTGAGGTAGGATTGAACTTCCTGTGTTTTTATTGTGTGTAGGTATTGGTCATCTCAGAACCATTTGTTGTAAATGCTCTTGGTTCGCAGTTGAATGACTTTGGATCCCTTGTGGAAAATTAGTCGACTCACAGGTTCATTTGCAAGCTCTCAATTGTATCCTACTGATTTATTTTTCAGTCTTTACACTAGTATCATACAGTATTGATTAGTGTCATCATAGTACATTTTGAAATTGGAAAGCCTGAGTCCTATAGATTTTTTTTCCTTTCTAAGATTGTTTTGAGTCTTTTGTGAGTCCACACTTTTAGAATTGGCTTGTAAAAGTCTACAAAGAAGCTGGCCGGGATTCTGACAGTGGATTTGGAGCTACTGCTATCTAGAGGAGCTCAAGAACATGGGGTGTCCATGAACATGGGCTGTCCTCCCATTTATTTAGGTTTCCTTTGTTTCAAGAATACTTTGTAGGGGGCTGGAGATTTAGCTCAGTGGTTTCACCGCCTGCTGCATAAGCACAAGGACCCGAGTTCAATCCTTGGTACCAAAAAAAAAATATTTTGCAGGGGCCGGGGATTTAGCTCAGTGGTTCTGCCGCCTACCTTGAAAGCGCAAGGTCCTGAGTTCGATCCCTGGTACCAAAAAAAAAAAATACTTTGCAGTTCTCAGAGTATAACTTCTCACTTCTTTTGTTAAATTTGATCTTGTATCCTTTAGCCTTGCTGAACATTTTTGTATTAATAGTGTTTAAGTGGAATAAATATTTTCTGCATACAAGGTCATGTTCTCTGTGAATAGCAGTAGTTTTAGTTCTCCTTTTCCAATCAGGATTCACTCTTTCTTGTTCTTTCTGTTCCATTAATGGTCCTGGCTAGAATCTCTCATGCAGTATTCACTAGCAGTGGCAGGAGCTGAAGTCCAGGTCTTCTTTCTTTCTTTTTTTTGGTACCCGGGATTGAACTCAGGACCTTGCACTTTCGAGGCAGGCGCCGGAACCACTGAGCTAAATCCCCGGCCCCCCAGGTATTATTTCTGATCTCAGTGGGAAAGCACTCAGGTTTTCACCATTAAATATGTGATCCCCTGTGGCTTTTCATAGATGCCTTAGTTACTTTTTTTAAAAAAGAAGAAAGGTTTATTTAGGGCACAGTGTGTAGAGGTTTCAGTCCATAGTTGGCCCGCAGCAAGGCAGGGTGGCACATGGCAGAGGGCAGCAGTTCATGGCAGCAGAAGACAGCAAAAGCAACAAGGGACCCTAACAGCTTCTTTCTGCCCCTTTTATCCCATCCAGACTACTTAGGCCCACAGCACTCACGCCCTTATCCCAGTGCTCTCCGGCCTAGCCCTGCACCATGAATCAATCACACTTGCTAGTGTAAGCCACCTTTTAGAAAGCCCCACTTAAGACCAGATGAGGCTTTGGGGGGCCATCAGACACAAGGCATTACAGTGCCCTTTATCAGGTGATGAAAATTCCCTCTAGTCCTGTTTTGTTGAGTGTTTTCATCATGAAAAAGTGTTGGATTTTGGGCTGGGGATTTAGCTCTGTGGCACCACATATGCCTCACAAGTGCAAGGTCCTGAGTTCGATTCCCAGTACCACACACATACAAAAAAGACATGAAAAAAAAAGTGTTGGATTTTGTCAAATGCTTTTTCTACATTGATTGAGATGGTCACGTAGTTTGTGTGTGTTCATGTTACTGATAGTTAACTGCTGAGTCTTAGCAGACATCCTTGAATAAATGTTGCTTCATTTGCTGTGTGCCCTCAGGACTGTTTTCAGAGACTTGAAGTGTTTTTCATCCTGTCACTAGCTTCTCAGGGGTGCAGGTCAGCAGGGAGAGTGCCTCACACTGTCATGCCGGAAGCCTGTCTGTCTTTCTCTTTCTCTCTTGTTTTCCTTGAGAGAGGGTCTCACTATGTAGCTCAGGCTGGCCTTCAACTATGTATGCCTTAGTCTCCTGAGTGCTGGGATTTCAGGTATGTGCTACCATGTCTGGCTAGGGATTCTGTCCTCTGACTCTGAGAGATTTAGGGTTAGGGATTTAGCTCAGTGGTTCTGTCACTTGCCTTGCAAGTGCAAGGACCTGAGTTCGATCCCTGGTACCAAAAAAAAAAAAAACCAAAAAACCAAAGCAATAAGATCAACAACAAAAAAGTATTTTAAACACATTTTTCTCTTAATTTTATATCAAGGAAGCTTCTTTTTTTTTTTTTTAGAAACCTCTTAGGTATTGTTTTTTTGTTCTGTTTTGTTTTAATTGCTTATTACTATCATCCACATTTCCAAATTTCCCACTGTTTCTATCACACTTTCTGCCCATCACCAGCTGTTCCAACACATTTCTGGAAAATCCCTCTGTTTCTTCAATAAAGAAACAAAAGAATCTATAGTTTAATGATACAAAAGCTATGAGCAAATTTTCTGGTAGATTTGGAAGTAAAAATATGAGTTAATTTTTTGGTGCATGATACTGGTATTGAACCCAGGGCCTTCACACTGAGCTCCATCCCCAGCCCTTTTGAAATGTTTAAACTTTGAGACAGGGTCTCCCTAAGTCACTAAGTTGCCCAGGCTGGGCTGAAACTTGGGATCCTCCTGCCTCAGCCTCCCAGAGTACTGGAATTGTAGGCCTGCATTTCCGTGTCTGTCATTTTAATGTGGAACTTTTTTGGGGGTGTGGGGGGGGTCCCGGGGATTTAACTATTGCATACTTTTTAATATGAGGCTTTGTGCGAACTTGTGACTGGTAGGGAGGCGCTAGAGAGGAGTTAGCTGTTCGTGTGGCCAGTAACTATCCCCTCCTCTGCTTTTAATCCCAGACCGACGAGAACGGCCTTCTCCTAGTTCCAGGGTGTGAATGGGCCGTCTTCTGGCTGGCCCAACCTGGGGTTATGACTCAAATCGAAATCGACACTACACATTTTAAAGGTAAATGCTGGGCCATGGGAAGCACCTAGAACTGGGGTAAGGTGCTTGTTCCGAAGGCAGGGTGTCCCATGGGGCGGGGCACGAGGACCTGTGTCTGCCTTCGCACTCAGTACCCTGTGGTTTCCATCTGAACCCACTTTCCCAGATGCAAAGTGTCCAGGCTGGGAGCAGGGAGCTGGCCCGGCTGGGGACAGGACTCCTAGCAGGTGTTTCAGGCAGGGGCAACCATTTCTACACATCTTTAAAACCACGAATCTTCCACTGGTTCAAAAAAAAAAAATGGATAAGCAACCCAGCTATTCCATATTTACTCTGATATGAGATATATACATGGGTCATTAAATTAAGAAAGGTTGCCAGGGCTGGTGGCACACACCTGTGACCCCAGCACTTGGCAGGCTGAGGCAGGAAGATCGCTGTGAGTTCAAGGTCAGCCTGAACCACACAATGAGACCCTGTCTCGAAAACAAAACAACAAAACAAACCAAAAAGAAAATTCAAACAAGGTCACTAAATTTCTATAATTTAGGTGCCATTTTTGTAAGTACTGGATTGGGTATCATGTGATTGTTTATCTCTTTTCTATAATGAATGTGGCAGTTTATATTCATAATTTGGAAGACTGACTTAATTATCAGGCAAATCATGACTTTATTCAATTATTAGTATTATATTAAGGTACAACATACACCAACCACAAGGTTCATCATCATAGTATTATTTTAAGAAGTCTTGGTGGTTTGGGCTTGCTTTTGGAACATTGCTTTATTTTATTTATTTATTCATTTATTTACTTATGTGGTACTGGAGATTGAACCCAAAGCCTTCATACTGAGTTACACCACCAGCCTTTTGTGGGTATTTTTATTATTTTTTTCGTACTAGGGATCTAACTCAGGACCTCGTACTTGCCAGGTAGGCACTGTGCCTCTGAGCTAAATCCCCAGCCCATTTTGTATTTTTCTTTTGAGACAGGATCTTGCTAAGATTGCCACAAGTTACCCAGGTTAGGCTCGAACTTGTGGTCTTCTGATCCTCCTGTCTCAGCCTCCCAAATGCTGGGATCACAGTTGTGTGTCACCTTGCCTGGCATTTGCTGCATTTTGGACCTCATTAAAGAGCCGGATGTGCTAGCAGGCGGACGCCACAGGGGACAGGCGTGGCACACAGTGTCCCTTCCTCCCATAGGCAACTCTCCAGACAACTGCAAGGTGGACGGCTGCGTCCTCACCACGCAGGAGGAGGCAGAGGCGGCCAAGCGGAAGTGGCTCCTTCCAGCCCCGAAGTGGAAGCCGCTGCTTCCGGTCACGAAGGTGGGTGGGACTGGGGGTGAGGAGCCGCTGCTGCGGTGTCTGGATCCGAGTGCAAAGTCACGAAATTTCCCTCACTTCTGCATTTCTAACAGTTTTTCTATTTCAAGGTGCCGGGGGCCGAACCCAGGGCCTTTGCACTGAACTTATTTAACTATTTCATTTGGAGACAGGGTCTGGCTAAGTCACTAAGCTGCCTAGATTGGGCCTCAATTTGTGACCCTCCTGCCCCAGCCTCCCAGAGTCCTGGGATGACAGGCGTGCACCAGCACACCGGTAGATTTTATTAAAGTTATGTGTGTGCTAAGAGGAGGGGTGGGGCCACCGGGGATCACGTGCTGGCCCTGTCACCATGGAGACATGTCAGCCAACCGCCCCATCCTTTTGACTTGTCCACTTTAACTACTAAACACAACAAACACTATGGGCTGGGCGTGGTGGCACACCTCTGTCATCTCAGCAGTCAGGAGGCTGAGGCAGGAGGATCACTGTGAGTTGGAGGCCAGCCCCGGCTCCATCTTGAGACCCTGAATACTCATGCCAGTATTATTTGAGCATCTTTTCCTGCCAACGGACTTCTAAGCCAAGTTGTCATTGTATACCTCTATTAAAAAAAAGTTTTTTTTTGAGACTGTCTTTCTACATAGTTCAGGCTGGCCTTGTTTTTGTGGGAGTTTTTTTGTCTGTCTTTTTGAAACAAGGCTCGCTCTGTAGTTCAGGCTGGCCTTGAACTCACTATGTAGCGCCCAGCTGGCCTCAAACTAGTGACCCTCCTGCCTCAGCCTTCCAAGTGCTGGGATGACAGATGTGTGCCCCACGACGCCCGGCTGGATGACGTTTCAAGTCCTTAAGTCCAAGCTGGCGGGTGGCACTGGCCCAGTCGCTCCGCCGTCGATCTATCCTGCCAACTTCTGGCTTCTGCCCTTCTAGCAGCTGTCGCCCAACGAGAGCCACGTGTTCGACAGCCTCACGAGGGAGCGGCAGGACGTCATCACGCATGCGCGGCTGAGCATCGCCCCAGATATGGGTACGAGCTGCCTGCGCCTGCGCGGCTTCCCCAGCTCCATCTGCCTGCTGCGGCCGCGCGAAAGGCCGAGCATGCGCTTCTCGGTGATGGCCGGCTTCGAGGCCAGCCTGTAGGCGGAGCCCGGTCCCGTTTCCTCCCCTGGCTGAGCACCGGCAGCTAATAAAGTGGTCCCGGCACAAAGAACCTTGTGCACAAAGAACCGCGTGCGGCCCAGAGCGTCGGGTAGCTTGAAAGTGAGCTGTGGCTGGGAATGGCCATGGTTCAAAACACTCTGGGAGGCTGAGGCAGTAGAATTGCAAGTTGGAGCCCAGCCGGAGCAGTTTAGCAGCTGAGTGAAAAATTCTATCTCAAAATACAAAAATGAAAAAGGGCTGCAGATGGGGCCCAGTGATGGCTCTGGGTTGTGTCTGCAGTTGTGCTGAAAAACAAAATGGGTTGTGTCTGTGATGGCAGGTGGCTTCTTGAGGAGTAACGTTTTTTAGCTGTTATTTTTCGTTTTTGAGACAGTCTCACTAAGCAGTCCAGCTGGCCTTGAACTCATGGCGATCCTCCTGCCTCAGCCTCCCGATTGGTGGGATAACAGGCCTTGCTTTTTAAAACAACAAGATGCTGATACTTACGGTGTTAGTGCAGAGGACGTTGTGCGGAGATCCAGCAGTGACAGGAGTCGGTCTTCCAGGGTCTGTTGAAAGCTGGCAAAGCCAGTGGGAAGCCGCCTCTCTGACCCCGTGCTTGCTCTAGCTCTGCCCTCCCCCTCAATTCCGGGACTGCTGCCTGTCCCCTGTCACCCCTGCCCCGGGCGGCAGCGGGGTCACAATCGCCACGCTTCAGTACAGCCCTGCGCCGCTCCCGCCCCCAGGCCCAGTCCCGCGCCCGGGGGCTCGGGCTCTGCAGCAGCACTGTCCTGCCTCGGCCTCCTCGGACCGCTCGGCATGGGCAGGCGCGCGCCCCGCCCGCTGGTGGACACCACGCCGGCCAAGACCTTCCTCGTGTACCGCAACGGGGACCAGTTCTATGTGGGCCGCAAGTTCATGCTCTCGCGGCGCTGCGTGGCTACGTTCGAGGCGCGCCTGGAGCAGCTGACCGAGCAGGTGGCTGTGCCCTTCCGTGTGCGGCGCCTCTACACACCCACGCGCGGCCACCCGGTGCTGAAGCTCGACGCGCTGAGGACCGGGGCCAAGTACAAGTACGTGGCGGCGGGCCGTGAGTGCTTCAGGAAGCTTGAGTAAGTGCACCCCAGGAGGGAGGCCTAGGCAGGAGGGTCGCAGGTTGCAGCCCGGCCTGAAAGGGGTGAGGGTGGAGCTCAGGGCTGAGGTCCTGGGTTCACCTGGGAGGTGGGCCTGTGACCTCGTTGCCTGTGCGGAGTGGAGTAACTCGTCTTACACGACACAGAGCATATCGGCCCTTTCCCGCCCTCTCTCCCCGTCCCTCATCTCTCGGACCCCTTCCCATTTGGGAAAGATCCGTCTCGCTGTTTTCTATCAGCCTGTCTTCTATTTTGCTCTTTAACGTAGCACTTTGGGCTTCTCCTAGAAGAGAAACAGGCCATGTTGAAGCTGTGTGTCTGGTGTATTTTGCTCGACATTATGGCTGAGGTGCAGCACGAAAGCTGGGGTTTTTTTCGTACTGCAAAAAAAAAAGGAAAAATAAAAAAAACTAGGTAATTTAAGAGAGTTTCAACAGGGCAGCTGGCAAGCTGCCTCACAGTGGCACTGCTTTGCACATTAATGTGACTCCCTGTATATTTGCTTTCTCATTGGATTCTCTCCTTTTTCTTTGCAGTTATATTCATATAGTTCCCAGAAAACTTGCCAAGATGAGAAAGCTGAAGGAAGTAAGTGTTCCCTGCTAACCGATTGAGATGAGACAAAGACGATTCCACAAAAGTTTAAGTGTGAATCTTGAATAATTGACGAAGGCAGTGCTTCGTGGGGAACGTGTATAAGACTCGTTGCTCAAAGTCAGAAGCCACTGCATGAGCTTGTTATACTTGTCAACCCTTAAACACCCAAAGGATGGGGTTGGTAAAAATATCCCAAGACTAGGCTGGGCGTGGTAGCACACATTTGTCATCCCAGCACTCAAGAGGCTGAGGCGGGAGGGTTGCCATGAGTTTCAGGTCAGCCTGGGCTTCATAGTGAGACCCTGTTTGGAACTCTACCTGCCCCCAAATAACATGGTGGGGGGCATCACATGGTGGACAGAGCAAACATGCTAACTTGCTTTTGTCTCCCTCTTCTTATAAAGCCACTAATGCCACCATGCCCCCCACCTTGTGAGCTCATCTGACTCTGGCCACCTTCCTAGCACCCCATCTCTGAATACCTTAGCATTTGCAATTGGGGTTAAATTCCAGCCCGTGGATTTGAGGGACACATTCACAGTACAGCGTGCAGTGTGGGCAGAAATCGGGCTCTGGCAGGGGCCTGTGGCTCTGCAAGATCTGTGCAAGGGGCTGTGGGAGCTGGGTGCCCCTGGGATGGGCACAGAGGAGGGAGGGACTCTTTTCTGTGCCATGCCGCCTCTTTCAAGGCCAAGGCAAGAGCAGGAAGAGACAGGCTGCTGCGTGCCTCCGTCCCAAGAGCTCCCGGAGCCTTGCTGGAAGTGGGTGCACCTGCACCTCCTCATGTTCCAGCTCAGCTGTCTGCATCACTTTCTTTTTTCCTTTTTTTTTTACTGGGGATTGAACTCTGGTCTTTGCGCTTGTGAGGCAGGCGTGGAACCAATGAGCTAAATCCCCGGCCCAGCATCACTTTCTTGTGGCTGAGACTCAATACCTGACATCCACAGCTGTAAGGAGGAGGGGTTTATCTGGGCTCACAGTTTGTAGAAGTCTCAGTCCATAGCTGGCTGGCTCCAAGGCCGGGAGGCCTGGCAGAGGGGCATCCCAGAGGAAAAACAGCTCATGGGATGATGGGCAGGAAGCTGAGAGAGATCAAGGAAGGAGGAGGGAGAGCAATCTTTCGAGGCCACACCCCCAGTGGCCACCTCCTCCACCAGGCTCCACCTCCCAAAATCGCTATTAGCTATGAGTTCATCCACCAAGAAGCATCACAGCCCCATGATCCAATCACCTCCCCAAAGCCCTGCCTATGAGCATGTGAGGCTTTGGTGGCAGGGGGAGGCATCTAGATACAAACCATAACACCATCCTTGGTCTATCACATCCCGGGGCAGATGTATCTTTTTTATAAAGTAACATCTTTGATAGCATTTTTATAAAGTAAACATGTTTTTTATAAGTATAAAAATATGCAAATGGCATGAATGTCTATCAATAGAGGAATAGTTGAATGATTTGTGCTGTGTCATACTGTGATCAGACCTACAGGCATTAACCTGAAATAACACCTCCCAGAATGTGTTCAGGGTTAAATGAGATGACCTATGTAAAATACAGACATTTCTCATTTAGCCACCGAGCTCCGTTCCTGCAACTGGGTCATTAGATGAATTGATCACTAAATGAGGAATTGCATATGCTATGCACATTACAATTAAGAACAAAGAAATGGTTGAACAAAACTCCAATGTGATGGAGCGTTTATTTGCATAACTCTTACAGTACTGTAATGTATAACAGAAAATAAAACTGCAGTATTGTGCTGCATAAAGTTACAGCTCTGCATAAACAAGGAGTTCTGTATGAAAAAGCAACACTGAGGCTCCATAAAGAAGATGTACAGAGCTGTACAGAAAAAGAGATGGGTCCTAAGTGTGAGCAGCAAGTTTTAAATCCAAAGAGAACAGCTGTTAAACAGGTTGGTTATTAAATGATGAGGGAATATCTATGTAAAAGGTTGCTAAGTCCCCAAATCCAATGTTTTAATGCTTTAATGAGTTACTTTTACTAATTTTGTGATACAGAGGTAGAAGTACTATCTTCTGTATATACTTATTTCATAGAATTTTTGTTTTGGTACAATTGTATTAGTGGGAAAACTGAAGGTGCATTCCAAGAGCTCTTGATACAGAAATGTGTGTAAAATTAATTAGAACAGCATAATATACGCTTAATATGGCCATAGACATGGCTTATAAAATACTTCAGTGTAATGAATTTGAAATTACATTTCATTAAATGGAAAGACAGGAAAATTAGTTTGAATTTAACGGGATCTTGGTTGTCACAGACTGTGCCGGTCGACACTAATGGGAAGGTGTCTGTGATGTCGCCATGACTGAACAGCTTTGTGCAGCGTCTGTAGGTCTGCTTACCCTTCACAGTTGTGTGGACCCAAGTAGAATTCAGAAGATTTCTCCAGTTCTTTTTGCTACGCTTGAGCCCCAACTCAATGTTTTTCTCCACCAGGAAGGCTGGTTTTCTTTTTTCTTTTGAGACAGAGTCTCGCTATGTAGTCCAGGCTGGTCTGCCAAGTGCCACCACACCTGGCTAAGGCTGTGTTCTGACCCTGCTTTTCTCTTTCTTTCTCTCTCTCTCTCTCTCTCTCTCTCTCTCTCTCTCTTCCTTTCTTTCTTGTACCAGGGATCAAACTCAGGACCTTGCACTTGCAAGGCAGATGGTGGAATCACTGAGCTAAATCCCCAACCTATGACCCTGCTTTTCCAGTGGGCATGTCCTGGACTAAAACTTTTATACCCTGAGTGAATTGAGATTGTATTGAGCTCAAATTGTTGGGAAAGAGAAGGACATGATTCACTGAGATGAATTTTCCACAATGAATCTAATGAAAAGAATGTTTTCAAGTTAACTTTTTAACATAGATTTTCTTTCTTTATGTTTAAAGTACATGTCTGTAGTATATAGCAATAACATTCCTCAAGGGAAGTTGGTACCTTTACATAATACATCTTAATTCTCTTTTCATCCTCTTCTCCTCCCCTCCCCTCCCCCCCTCCCTCCCTCCCTCCCTCTCTCTCTCTTTCTTTCTTTCCTTCTTTCTTTCTCTCTCTCCTTTTTCTTTCTTTCTTTTTTTTTTGTGGTACCGGGGGATGAACCCAGGGCCTTTGTGCTGAGCTACATCCCCAGCCCTTTAATTTTCTATTTTGAGACAACATCTTGCAGAGTTGTCAAGCTGCCTGGGCTAGGCTTGAGCTTGCATTCTTCCTGCCTCAGCCTCCCAGGCATGCCCCACCACACCCAGCTCACAATGTGAATGAATGTTTGCTACCTGGAGACTTGGCTTGGCTGACTTGAAAATCAGATTTGAATGCATACAGAGTCTCCTGCAGGGAGCCTCAGCAGCAGGTGGGAATGCGCACTTGGGACATCTTCCAGACCTCAGTGTTAGTGTAGATCTGGGTTCTTAGCTGGGGTCAGGGGTCTGTGTCTTCGGGGTGCTCCAGCATCCCCGGCAGACAAGGGACTCAGGGGTCTTGGGCTCTGATAAGTTCGAGGTGGGTGTCACTGTCAGGTGGTCATAGAGCCACGCTTACTTGATGCTTCCTAGTGGATTATTATATGGAGCTTGGTGAATAAAAAGATCCGGAATCACATGTTTAATAGCTGGAGTTACTTAATTAGGCAGGTGACATCAGGGTTAATGAATCGTTAACACATCAAAAGAGCAGTTAGCTCATTGTTTCCATATTTATGCAGTCAGTGGAAAGCTGCTCTTAGGGTGGCAGCACTGTGACAGAATTCTGCAGAGGATGAGCTCTGCTTTGTTTGCAAGTGAGGGTTTATAAATCCATGCTAGTTGTTGACGTTCATTGTATTGATTTTTTCTACTCGGTATGCAGGTATGTATAATTTTATATACTGTAAAACCTTGGGCTGAAAGTAACTTGTTCTGTGAGTGTTCCATAAGATGGCTGGTTGTGGTGGTGCACCCTATAATTTCAGCACCCAGGAGGCTGAGGCAGGAGAATCGCTGTGAGTTCAAGGCTAGGCTGAACTACATAGTGAGACCCTGCCTCAAACAAAACAAAACGAAAACAAAATACCTTAAGATGAAAAAACATTTCTAATAAATTTTAGCTGGATAAACAGGTGATATCTTGCAATATGAGTAGTACACAATGTTGAAATCACATGATCACAACTGAGCCAATGGTGTGCCCCTCCATCGTGGTATTGTGGGTGATCAGCTCCCAACAACAAGAGGTTATGGAGATCTCATCTGCACAGGAGAGGACAAAAAGATAGAGGATTCATCACTTCCAGTGAGATTAGGGAGATGTGTAAAATGTGGGAAACAGTGCAAAGTTTTGGAGTAGGGAAGCACCACCCAAATAAGGATGCAGCAGTGAGAGTGATGAATCTATTTATGGACAGTGCAATGTCTCATTTCTGAAAAATCCTCAAAAGCAAGTGTCACTGGATGGGTTTCTTGTTAGAGTTGTACAGGAAGGAAAAGATTCTGTGGAGCCAATAGCAGTGATTCCCTTAGTGATAGTGAAAGTCACCCTGCACAATAGCCCTCCTCCCTCTTGTCTCCCCCAGACCAGCTACGCAGGTTTTCAAAGGTAAGTGCAGATCAGTTTGTTTATTTTTATTACTTGTATTATATTAATGTATTATAATCATTTTATATTAATATTTTGGGGTTGTGGAACGAATCATCTGATTTCCATTATTTCTTACTGGGAGATTTGCTTTGATGGGCAAGTGCTTTGGATTACAAGGGTGTTTCCGGAATGCATTATGCCCACAAAGCAAGGTTTGACTGTATTTGTATGGTAGGGGTAAAAACGGGTGTGGGTGTGTCTGTGTTCCCGCAGTCTTCAGCAGCATCTCTTTTTTCTGGAATCTTTTCTAGAGTATCAGAGCTGTTTCTGTTCCTCTTTCATATGTGGAGCACTTCCTAACAAACTTGGTGATGGCAGGGCCAGAAGGGTGCTACAAGGCAGGGGGAACAGTGTCCACCAGGGTTCCTCCACTTGCTGTCCTTTCCGGATTAGGTTTGTGCCTGTGTGTTTGGGGGAGCAGCACGGGATCACTTGGGGGGCAGCCCGGAGACCCTGGGAGCCAAAGGCCCCTAAGAAGCCAGGGGTCCGAGGTGCAGTTCTAGACAGGGGCTCTAGGGGCGCTAATGGTTCAGGACACAGCCTGTCTCCTGGAATTTATCGTGGAGCCCATGGATCTCCCGGGGCTCCTTCTTCTGAGCTGGGGAAGTCTGGGGCCGCCCGTGGGTAAAGTTAGCCACTCTTCTCGGGCCGAGGGAAGAATGGGGGTAAGTGGTCCATGTGCAGGTCCAAATCCGCTCAAGCGGTGCCCCTTCATGTGAGCAGCAGTGTGCCCTGCTGCAAAACGCGGGGAAATGGCCCCCTGCTTCAGCTCTGTCATCCGTCTCCCGGCCCTGTGCTGTGAGGACTCCAGTTCAATCTAGTACTTCTTACTATCTGATGGGATCGCGCTAGTCCTTCCATAATCTCTTCCCTAGGAATTAGCAGGCTGCTGCCAGAGAGCTCTGTAGCAGTGAGTGCTGGGTTTTGGGGTCCTTGGCTCCCCTCGCTGGGCGGCCGGCTGGGTTGTGTCTGAGAGTCCTGGGAAGATAGCGCCATGCTGAGCTGGCTCCTCACGGCACACGCATCCTCATCTCTCCTCTTCCTCGGGGGACCCCTGCGCTGCGCCCAGACGCTCCCATCTGTGCGGTTTGCAGAGAGCCTTGGTGCTTTCTCCTCGGTGGTGACTGTTTGTGGCTGGGTCTCAGCTCCCACTGGGACCCACACCCTTGACAAAGGAGCGTCTGTGGGTAGCTTTTGGCTCACTGTGGGATACTCGGGGAGCACCCCAACATTAGGGTGACATGCCTGCCTCCTGTAAGCCGGGAGTGGAGGGCACAGGGAGCAGGGCAGGCTGGGAGGCTGCGGTTCCAGGAGCACCCGCAGAGCTGAGTAACTGGGGAGTCCCCGGGCCTGTGTGGAGCAGTTCCTTCCCTCTTGGGGGCCAGACCCTGTGGACCCGAGAGCAGCTGTGCGGCCCAGCCTGTCACACCGCTCCCACGCAGGAGCTGAGAGGGGCAGGGAACACAGCGGCCTGGTTCTGCGGCCCAGACGCTCTGGCTCCAATCTCGCCCAGTCACAGCATTGGGGGTGCCGTCCAGATTCTTGATGTCCTGAACAGAGTACTGAGCAGGACTCCCGAAAGGAGCAGGAAGGCAAAGGATTTATTTGAAACTGAAAGTATACTCCGCGGGTCAGGAGCGGCTAGTAAGAACTCATGGCACCAGGGCGCTCAGTGCTGACGGTCTGAGGCCTTGGGATTGGGGTGAGCTTGGCTTGGCCCTCTCTTGGGTGGTGTTTTGAGCTCTTAGAGGAACTGTAATGGCGTCCAAAGCCCTTGAGGGGCGGAGTCAAATCTCCATAGTCAATGACATGATAATTAGGGCTGGGTCAGCCAAGGGTTGCAGACACCAGTGCACGTGCCCACGTACTTATTAGGTATAAGCTAAGTTACCTGGTTACCTTTCCCATCGTGTTTAACCCTGGGCATCCCAGCCTGGGCTAATGCTTGACTCAGAAGGTGGATTTAGCCCCAGAAAGCAGAGTCCTAGGTGGGCCTTCCTTTCCTCCTCCAGCCATTTCCATGGCAACCTCCTGCCTCAACCCTGTGTGACTGTTGTATGAGTTGTTGGGTGCGTCCCAGGTGCTGGCCGTGTGGCTCTCCTCTGGACCCTTGTCACCTCAAGGCACACTGCCCTTCACCTCGTGTTCACCACTGGGCACACGGCCTTCAGCCCCAAATCGGCCCACCCCACACCCCAGGACCCAGTCTGCCCCAGTGCAGTCCTTCTTTCTGTAACTCCTCCTGTCCCCTGCTGGGTGATCTGTGTTGAGGGGACGCTGTGTCTTCAGATCAGCTTTGGGGGTGCAGCTCTGCACGCTGCTGGGTGTTGACCCAGTGTCTGTCTGTGGGAATGGAGCTGAGGCTTATGCTTTTTTTTCAGATCAAACCTGTGGTGCATTGCGATATAAATGTGGCGTCCAGGTGGCAGACGTGTCATCGGATATCCCATCACATTAAGTGAGTACAGGATTGTGGGTGAAAAGTCAAAAGTGCCGCGGGGCCTTAAAATTTCTGCTCTTGACCCTGACCTGCTCCCCTAGCCCACCCTTTCTCCTCCTCTTCCCCTTTCTTCCTCTTCTCTTTCTGACTGGTGAATTCTTCTGTGTACTGTCTGCTCTACCTTCAGACTTTCTTTTTGTTTTTTTGTCTCAGGGTCTCACTATGTAACCCAAGCAGGCCTTAAACTCATAGTGATCCTCCTGCCTCAGCCTCCCCAAGTGCTCAGATTACAGGTGTGCATGGCCATTACACCTGACTCTTCTTTCTTCCTCTTTCCCTTTTCTTCCTTTCTTTTTGTTAAAGGATAGACTGCCATTGTGAGTTCTTTAATGATCACTTCCAGCAAATATGAAACATCACATTAATTGTGCAAATATTAGCTTAGAAATTAATTTTTTAACTAAACATGATCTCAAATGCAGGACCAAAGAGATAAATCATTTGCTTCCATCTCCTCCAAATGTTTTTAAACACCCAACTCTGAGGCAGGTACTGGACAGACCTCAGTGGACAAATCAAGCCTTGATTTATAATTTCCAGTTTATAATTGGAGGGAAGAATCTCTTACCTTGAGTTTGGAACAGGTTGTTTCAGTGACCTTCAGCATGTTTGCTTGTTTGGAAAATTATGCAGCCTTTCAAAGGCTACAATTCATAGTCTCTCTCTGTCTCTGTCTCTGTCTCTGTCTCTCTCTCTCCCTCTCTCTCTCTCTCTCTCCCCCCTCAGCACTGAACCCAAGACCTTCATACTGAGCCACCTCCTCAGCCTTTTTATTGTTTATTTTATTTATTGTAGGGAACAGGGAAAGGGGATGTTACTAGGACCTCTGCAGTAAGTTGTAGTCTCTGGTGAGCCAGGGCAGCACAAGGCAAACTGACTTATTATGTACAAAAGGTAGAAAAAATGAGACTTTGAGAAGCTGAGCTTTGGGCCTGATCAGTGCTGCCCCGGGGCTTACCGGACCTTTTATTCAGTACATGTGGAGAAAGAAATGTAACAAATGACTCAGGACAGAGAGTTCAGGGATAAACAAAGTGTAACAAATGACTGGGGGGTGGCAGAAATCAAGAACAATGAGGAACTGAGTAGATAAAGATTTGTTCCTCCCAGGATGTCTTTAGCTGGTGTAATCTTGTCCTGGAGCATCACAGCATTAGCAGATCATTGAGGTTTTAGCTGTGACCGGAGGCCAAAAATGGAGTGTTGTCTCGAAATCCCATAGCTGGCCTGTAGACAGAAGAACTAGGCCTAATCAAATGATTTTCCTCCAAAATGATATAGAATTGCTCCTGACATATCTCCCTTTCTTTTTGTTTTATGTAAGGGTGTTTTTAGGAAAAGTGAGCTCACCCAACAATGGCTTATTACTGTATATTGTGAGGATCTCCTCTGTGTTTGATTGGGTTAGCTATCTGTAATAAGCATAATTTCTTTTAATTTTGGCTGTAAAAGGACTAAAAGTCTAATAATAATTTTTTAAAAACAATTTTGGCTAAAAAAACTTAAAACTCTTGTTGAACTCAAATATTATCTTTAGTTACACTTTTCTACTGGATGTATAAGACCGAGTTATGGTGAGACTTACATTAAATAAAATCAACCTCTTCTGTCTAACAAGGTCAATTGAGTCTCCTCAGGCACTGTCTTGGAACCATGCATAGAGCCTCTTAGCTCCTCTGTCAGTGTCAGCTGCCAGGATATGTCACAGCCTTGCTCGACTATGTTACTTTCTCTGAAAGCATGAGAGATTTTTTTCCTCCAGGTGACATTCCTTTGGCACACTTTTTGTTGGATCTTTACTGTTTTGGTGTTCAGCAACCTCCCTGCTCAGGAGGTTGGGTGACTCACCAAAGATGCAGGATCTTGGAGAAGGTTACCTCATGACCTGGATCTTTTTGTTGTTGTTGTTGACCTTGGAGGGCCAGGGCCAAAATATTGACTGCCTTCTTAGCCCAGATACCTCTTCAGTTTTGGTCTCTAAACTTTGATTGTTGAACACCCAGAAGAGAAGAGCAATAATATTAGCGTTGTAAGAGGAGTAGTGAACTAACTCAACTATTATAATTTCACCTGGATATTAAGCATTTTAGAATAAAAATATAGTTGAAAGACTGTTATTATTGCCAATCATGGTTGTTCTTGGGTTGAATCTCTAAGTATCTATCTTTTCATAGGATGTCATCTAAGGAAAATAAATCAGCCTACAAGTGTGCTTATTATCATAGGTGGCTGGAGCATAAGAGAAGGGCAGATATCTGAATCAAAGGGTTATTACCATTAACAATATGTTGGAAGACCCATACAATTAGAGGCCATGAATACATTTTGTACACCAGAAAAGGACCAGTAATAAATATTGCAATTATATAAAACCTATGTTCTTCAATGTAGTTTGGTACCAAAAGTATCTTTCTAATAACACTCTTTTGTTTATGCCACAGAAATTAATCTTTTGAAGATGACCAATGTAGACATATCACAATAACATATTTAGAATTTAACCAATGTAAACATTTTATAATAACATATTTAGGGCTTGACCAATGTAAATATTTTATAATATACTTAAAATTTAAACTTCAATGATAACCAATGTAATCAATTTATAATAAGAAATTGAGACAATATTTGTTGTGGTGTGTCTTCCATAAGATTATGAAAATTACTAGGGGGTCCCTTTAGTGAATTAAGACCAGAATAATTATTTTCTGGGCGGCTGCTTCTTTATTCACCAAAGGGAGTACCCACGGTCTCTATGTACTTTGGCAAACAAACATATAAAAAATATATATATCTTTATTTTTATAACTGCTTATTATAATTTGTTTATTGCAAGTAGGCAACAATACACATCACTTTTGTAAAATAAATCTTGATGACACTTTGACCAGTTAGCAACCTGGGGGAAGAAGGGCATGCCTTGAACTTAATAAAATTTATCTGTAAGCCAATTTAATAATAGGTGAATATCTTTTAAGAACAAATTTTCAAAAGGTGAAAAGGAAAAGAGGAAAAAAAATTTGAGCTCAGCTGTACAAATGGACAAACAGACAACAGACAAGCATATAAGAGAATTTATAAAACTAGAGTGCACTCAAATATATTTGGCCAAATTGAATTATAATATCCCTTTCATGTTTTTTAGGTTTATAATTGTATATAAGACTGGTCAAAAACTTTTGTAGTCAATTAATAGAGATCTCTTGAGATTAGAATCAGAAGGAATGCAAGCGCTTTTATACCTGTACATGTAAAAAGAACATTTTTAAGTTACCACCCCCCTTTTTTTAACCATAAATCTATATTTATTCTTCCTCTGGGGGCATCATCTCAGTCCTGGACCCCAAGTGGATTTGTTGGTCGTCTCTGGTGAGGTGGGTCCCTCAGGTGCAGCTGGCTCATCACTCTCAGCTGGGGTGCTATCACCCATTCTCCGAGATGTTGGTGGTTCCACCAGTGTGACCCACGGTCTCACATTCCAGGAGGGCAGCCACAAGGTTTCATCATTATCTGTTAGGACACAGGCAAAACCTCTCCCCTTCTCCCCACTTATTAAGGCAGTGGGGCCATTCCGCTTACCTGTTTCGACATCTTTCCAAAGGACTTGTGGTTTCTGAATCTTAGCCGTGGCATCTGTATGCCAATGGAGCATAGCAGGCGGTTGGGTGAAGCCTGCTACAGGATTTAAAAAATTAAGTACAAAAACAGCTAGATCTAAACAAGCTTGTGGGGGGAGCTGATTCTCTTTTGATTGTTTAAACAATTAATGTTTGAGGGTGGCATGGCCTCTTTCTACTATGGCTTGTCCTTGTGTATTATATGGGATACCAGTACTATGCTTAACATGCTAAATAAGAAAGAATTTTTGGATAAATTTATTAACATACGATGGACCATTGTCAGTTTTAATATTTTTGGGCACTCCCACGGCAGCAAAGGCAGACAAGCAGTGTGGTTGAACATGGTGCCCTTTCTCACCAGAGTGACATGTGGCATGTATCATGTGTGAAAATGTATTTATAGAGAAATGTACAAATCAAGACTTTCCAAAAGAGGGGACATGGATCACATCCATCTGCTGAATCATATTAGTGGCTAGACCTCAAGGGTTAGTTCCCTCAGGGGGAATGGGCCATAGCATCTGCTGGCAACTAGGACAAGCCATAACTATCTGTTGTGCCTGAGCTCGAGATAACTAAAAATCATGTTGTAGTGCCTTGGAGTTCTGATGGAAATAGCAATGTGATTCTTTAGCCTGATCAAAAACAGCAAGGAATCCTATAAGCTGATCTGCTTATGCATTGCCATAGGAAAGTGGTCCAGGAAGATTGGTATGTGATCGAATATGTCCTATATAAAAGGGAGCAGTTCTTTGACGTATAGCCTTTTGTAATCTTAAAAACAAGTTCAATAATTTAGATTCTAAGGTAGAGCGGACCATAGCTCCTTCCAGTCTTTGAGTCAAACAAACTGCATAAAAGGAATCACTCAAAATATTAAGAGGTTGGGAGGGGAAGTTTTCGATCACAAATAAAATGGCTAGCAACTCTGACCTCTGAGCAGAGAGACCAGGTGTAGGCAACACATAGCTAAAGGGAAAGCTCCAAATTCCTGCTTGGCCCTTAGAGAAGCTGGTGGTGAAATAGGTTGAGGCACCTTGCAATGGCTGAAATTGAGTAACCTTGGGAAAATAAACTCATGTTGTGCAAAAAAAATGAAACAGAGGATCACCAGGGTAATGATTATCTGTCCAATGAAATCTACAAAGGCTACTTGCCAATATAAAGCAGTTTGTAGCAGTGTCTGCATTTGAGCCTTATTAATTGGGATAATGATGAAATGAGGGTCAGCACCAAATAATTGTTGGGTACGATTATGTCCCAAGAAAACTATTTTTGCAATTTGCTCTAGATATAATTGTAGTGATTTCACTAACTGGTTAGATAAAAACCACCATT